TTAAAATATATTTTAAAAAATATTCTTCCAAATATATTGACATTTATGTGAAATACTACAATTTTGGCCATATTCAATATATTTCAAAAAATTTATATATTATATATATATATATATATATATATATATACTGTATGTTGAAATGCGCTTATATTACAAAATATATGAAAAAAATTTTAAAAATACATTTTCAAATATACTGTATGTCTTTAAAAATACATTTATTCTACATTTTTGGAATGCATTTACAAATAATTGTAGTATTTGAAATATATATCAATATATTTGGGGAGAATATTTTAAAAATATATTTTAAATATATTTTTCTTCCATGTGGGTAGAAACCAGCTCTAGCAGAAATAGAGAAAATAATCTTAATTGAAGAGAAAAATTGCATTAAAAAAATGATGAATATGCTAGCAGCAAAATGGTTAGACTTTTTCAGCAGAGCAGAAGAAAATACCTCTATCCTATCATGCTACTAGCAACAAACCGGGGCATGCCAGTTGCAGGAGGAGTAATCCTGCACTGGCTTACATTTTTTTGTGTGCCAGTGACCAATCCTCCTGTAGGCGTCCATATAACCCAATCGTTTCTATGTCCCTCAGTGGCCGAGAAAAAAAAAATCATAGTATCAGCAACTTTGGACCTTGCACCTATCTTCCTGTGTCGAAAAACAGAATCTCATATTTAGGCATTCAGGGGACAGTACCTGGGAATTCCTAGAACTATACAAATACGTAAAGAGCTGTATATTGTTAGCAGAATGAATAGCAACCTTTACCAAACCCATAAAAATATAATACAAAGTGGTACAGTACAAACATAAAACCAACAGATCAAATATTTAACGTTCAAGAGTAAAAAAGTTGAGGGTGGACAGCAGTACTTAGTCTGGAAGATAAAAGGAAGTAGAAATAATGATGCAGTAAAATGCAGAATTGTTTTAAACCAGCAATCAAAAACTACCAAAGATCCATTGGGAAGCCCACAGACGTGGCATGAAGGCTTCATGTACAGTGAGGAACAGAAGTATTTGAACACCCTGCGATTTTGCAAGTTCTCCCACTTAGAAATCATGGAGGGGTCTGAAATTCACATTGTAGGTGCATTCCCACTCTGAGAGACAGAATTTAAAAAAAATTCAGAAAATCACATTGTATGATTTTTAAAGAATTTATTTGTCTTGTACTGCTGAACATAAGTATTTGTACACCTAAGAAACAGCAAGAATTCTGGCTCTCAAAGACCTGTTACTGTGCCTTTAAAAAGTCCACCTCTACTCCACTCATTAATCTAACTTAGAAGCACCTGTCTGAGCTCTTTAAAGACACCTGTTCACCCCACAGTCAGTAAGACGCCAACTACTACCATGGCAAGAGCTGTCAAAAGACACCAGAGACAAAACTGTGGACCTCCACAAGGCTGGAAAGGGCTATGGGGCAATTGCCAAGCAGCTTGGTGAAAATAGATCAACTTTTGGAGCAATTGTTAGAAAATGCAGGAGGCTAAAGACGACTGTCAGTCTCCCTTGGACTGGGGCTCCATGCAAGATCTCACCTCGTGGGGTATCACCGATGATAAGAAAGGTGAGGAATCAGCCCAGAACTACAAGGGAGGAGCTGGTCAATGACATGAAGAGAGCTGGGACCACAGTTTCAAAGGTCACTGTCGGTAAAACACTACGCCGTCATGGTTTCAAATCATGCATTGCACGAAGGTTCCCCTGCTCAAGTCATCACATGTCGAGCCCATCTGAAGTTTGCCAATGACCATCTGTATGATCCAGAGGAGGCATGGGAGAAAGTCATGTGGTCAGATGAGACCAAAGTAGAACTTTTTGGTCTAAACTTCACTCGTCGTGTTTAGAGGAAAAAGGTTGAGTTGCATCCCAAGAACACCATCCCTACTGTGAAGCATGGGGGTGGTAACATCATGCTTTGGGGGTGCTTTTCTGCGAAGGGGACAGGACCACTGCACTGTATTAAGGAGAGGATGAATGGGGCCATTTATTGTGAGATTTTGAGCAACAACCTCCTTCCCTCAGTCAGAGCATTGAAGATGGGTCGTGGCTGGGTCTTCCAACATGACAACGACCCGAAGCACACAGCCAGGATAACCAAGGAGTGGCTCCGTAAAAAGCATATCAAGGTTCCGGAGTGGCCTAGCCAGTCTCCAGACCTAAATCCAATAGAAAATCTGGGAGGGAGCTGAAACTCTGTGTTGCTCAGCGACAGCCCCGAAACCTGACAAATCTAGAGGAGATCTGTGTGGAGGAGTGGGCCAAAATCCCTATTGCAGTGTGTGCAAACCTGTTCAAGAACTACAGGAAACGTTTGACCTCTATAATTGCAAACAAAGGCTTCTGTACCAAATATTAACACTGATTTTCTCAGGTGTTCAAATACTTATGTTCAGCAGTGCAAGACAAATTAATTCTTTAAAAATCATACAATGTGATTTCCTGAATTTTTTTTTAAACTCTGTCTCTCAGAGTGGGAATGCACCTACAATGTGAATTTCAGACCCCTCCATGATTTCTAAGTGGGAGAACTTGCAAAATCGCAGGGTGTTCAAATACTTCTGTTCCTCACTGTACATTGGGGCCTTTGTAACTGCTTTTCTCCTAGCAGGAGAGCGGCCTCAAAAATGCACCTACGCCTAGTTTCTGCTCATGTGTTCAGGCACATTCAGGTGCATCAAGCTCTTGGCCTTTTCATTTCATTTGCCAGAATTTAAATTTATACTGGCTATTGAAATGAAAAAATGCTTAAGCGCAAAATGCATCTAGTGCTTCGGCATATTTAGATGTTTTAACACAATGTTTTTTTCTACCCAAAAAGCTGCTCTCCTGATCGCGATTTTGGTGCGTTCAGATTTTTGCTAAACTCTGCTGCCTCTAAACTACTTTAAATACCTATGTTTGCATGGACACATAGGCTAAGGAGATCAGGTGTGCATGTGACAGATGCTTCAGTGAAGCCCTGCAAAGTGCCGGTGATATACTGAGGATGATGATAAATGAGAAAGGGAAGTGCTAAGCTGCACAGTGACTTCAGTGACACAGTGATTCACACTTCAACCTTGCGGCCCTAGGGTTATCAGTTCAACTCCCAACCATGACAGTACCTGCATAGAGTTTGCATGTTCTCTCTGTGCTTTCATGGGTTTCCACCCATACTTCAAACACGTTAGGAATTTAAATGGCTCCAATCTAGACTAGCCCTAGTATATGTATGCAAAGTAGGGACCTTAGATTGTAAGATCCTTGAGGACATGAACTGATGAGAATGTACGTTGTCTACATAAATGTTAGTAATAAGGTTAGTAATAAGTAAAATGATACATGAGGCTCCAAGCAGTACTCCAATACTGACGTGTTAATACAGAGGCCTTTACGAGGTGAAGACTCTAAGGCCCCTTTTAGGATGGGCAGACTTGGTCAAGCGGATCCACCTGCTCAGAGGGGGATCTCTACTGATCCCCACTGAGCAGGCGGATGACAGGTCTGTGTCTGATCCGCTATGCAGAGCAGACACAGACACAGCCTGCTGTTCTCTATGGGGAGGTCAGATGGAAACGGACAGGTGGTCCATTTCCACTCGACTGCTCCATAGAGAACAGTGGGCTGTGTCTGTGTCTGCTCTGCATAATGAACTGAACACAGACCTGTCATCTGACCCGATCCACTGGACGATGGGAAATGGATCCCCATCCGTCTGTTTTTACAATACAGGATCGAATGCCACTGACACCCGCCGCTCCAGAGAGCTATGGATGGTCCACTCAGGTCCGCCTGAAAAACTGACAAACTGACCAGATTAGACCTTCAGTGTGAAAGGTGCTAAAGACGTGAGCACAGATATCTCACTAATAGATGCCCTGAACCCGTCTGGTGGTTTAATCTTCCAGTATCTACGAAAGACTGAAAAATCAATCATAGAATGAATGACTCTTTAATCATTTGAAGACCCAAGCAGCAGCCTACATATAACAAATTTACCCCTAAAAATTCTAAAAGGCACTACAGGCTGATCATTCAAAATTTCCATATGAACATAATTTTACATTCATGTCACAAGTAAGCATATCAGCAACATAACCTCTAATTTCTTTTTTTGAAAATACATTTTAAAACAATAACCTAATGTGTTACCCCTGGTTCACACATCTGCGGCCGTGCGGGCTGCATTTTGTGTGGGCACAAGAGCCAATTCATTTGAATGGACTCCCGTGCCCCGGGACATGTAGGGAACAAGTCCCTGCACTTCTTTTGAAACACAAGCCCGCATTCAATGACCTTTCAACATTTGATTTACGAGTCAATGGACTTTTCCCAAATGAAAACCACATACACTGTTAGAAATTGTTCCAACAAAAAAATTTCCATTCTCCTATTTTGAATTTTCTCGCCCCTGTGGTTAAAAATAAAAGTCCTTCTTCCGGGATTCACGATCTCCGGCTGTCTGGCATGATTAAAATTTAAAAAGATGAGTTTACCACCACTTTAATTTGTTGAGACGATTGGGGGGGGGGGGTGTGGTACATCCAAATCTACCCTAAATCTTAACGTGGAGCTCCACCCTGCTTTTCTGCCTCTTTTCCCCCTCCACTGCCACATTTGGCACTATTTTGGGGGAGGGGGATGGGTACCTAGTTTTGGCAGGTACCTGCTCCCACTGCCGGCTCAATTCGCTGCAGCAAACTGAACCAGAGGTTTGCACCCCCCTCCTCCCCCCGCAGTCTTCTGAGACACTTCACAGGTCCCCCAATCTCAAGGCACAACGCGACTTGCGCATGCACATTAGGAAACCAGACAGTTGCCCATACGTGGAATGCCAACACCAGGAACTACCCCGGTTGATGAAGGAACTGGAACCTCGGACAGGCAGATGTCCTTATAGTAAAAGTCAGCAGCTACAGTATTTGCGGGGGGGGGCCTGGACCACATCATTAAATAGTGTTTTGAGCTGTAGACATCATCTAATCACATGTCTTACCGCACTCTTTTGTCCTCTATTTTTTTCAGGCGCTCATCTTTCTTCAGCACAGCCAATATCGCATCTCGTTCTTGATCCGACAAATAAGACAAATTTATTATTTCCGTGTTCTTAGACATTGTTTATTTCTGGCAGTTTATGGATTGTTGATGTTTTTCTCTTGCCAAAAGTACTTGTGTAATTAGCGTCATTCAGATAGAGTACAATGTATAATACCAAAAAAAAAAAAATCACAGGTAGTGCCTCCAAAATACAACAAATGCAAAGGAGTTTCCAGCTACAATTTTAACTGTTGCAGATCCACAAGAACTAGTCTGTAGTTTGTAGATGTTGGGCCATCGACAACGTACAATCGTCATTGTTATTTAATCTGAAAAAAGAAATCAAAGAAAATTCATTAACAAAATGCATTATGCTATTGATTGCCACATTGTTTCTTACCACTTCAATATCAGACATTTTCACCCCCTTCCTGCTCAGGCCAATTTTCAGCTTTCTGCATAGTTGCACTTTGAATGGTAATTGCACGGTCATGCAACACTGTACCCAAATTAAATGTTTATTATTTTTTTTCCCCCGGTAGAGCTTTCTTTGGTGGTATTTAATCACCACTGGGTTTTCTATTTTTTTGTTAATAAACGAAAAAAGACCAAACATTTTGAAAAAAACACATTTTGCAAATAAATAATTGTTCTTCAAAAATTTAGGCCAAAATGTATTTTGCTACATTTCCTTGGTGAAAATAACCCATATCAGTCTATATTATTTAGACTGTAGGAAGGTTATAGAGTCCACAAATGATGGTATATGCTGTATCTGAAAATTGATCACTCCTGATGTACTGATGGCCTATCTCATTTCTTGAGGCCCTAAAATGTCAGGACAGTACAAATACAAATGACCCCTTTTTGAAAGTAGACAGTCCACGGTATTTAGGTATGGCAAGTTTTTTTAAGTTGTAATTTTTTTGTTAGAATTTTTTGAAAAATGAAGAACTTAAAAAAAAAATCACAGTACTGTCACCAGTGCAGTACAGCGTCATCATATAACTGGTGTGGAGGTGATCTATGACACTAGTGACAGTATGAAAACATTTTTTTTCTTTTTTATTACATTTTTTTCTTTAACCATAGTAACATTTTAGTACTCTTGGGAAGTGATCAGGATTTTTTTTACACATTATGATTACTTATAGCAGTGAATTATATTACTATAAGCAAGCATTTTACTGAATGAAATTGATTCATTCAGTAAGTATTGTTGTGATTAGCTTTGAATGGCCACAGCTAATCACATGGTACAGATGGGCTGTGATCGGCCCTGTCTGTACCATATGATCACTGTGACCAATCACAGCTAGCAGCACAATTGTACACAATGATTGACATGAATCGAAGCTATTCATTGTTTACAACTGTCATGTGATCTGCTGTAATTGGTCACAGTGATCACATGGTACCAGCAGTGAGCCGGGACAGTGATCTGTCAGATCAGGCCTGAAGTGCAGCCGCACAGCCATGCACAAGGCACGTTCCGGTAGGTTGTCATATGACGTCAGTCGGGAAAGAAGAAAGTTCTGCCCAGCCGCAATTTTGTAATAGGCCGGGCGGGAAGTGGTTAAAGCAGATCTGAACTAAAAACATGAAGATTTAGTATGAGATACGAAATGTCTAAAATGTTCATTGTGCCAGGGAAGTACCCTGCTGCAGGGCTGCACAGAAGGTGCGTTTCAAGAGGTGTATATCTAAAGCATGAGATATCATGTCTCTATATAGTAATCTCTGGTGATGTGGGGTGAGATTTGGTGATTCCACTACTATGCTGCTCATTGTTTTTCTTGTTTGAGCTTTACCATGAGGAAGCAAAGCCCTGCTCTTATATTAAGATGGCCTCTTCCACACAGAAACACAGTACAGAATAATGCATGGTAAGTTAATTATGGGAAAAGATCAGTTGCGAGGAGACCACAGGCAATAATGATGACTAGTACTGAGCCTTCTGTCTGCCTTTACATGCATAGCTTCCAAAGTTCAACTCCTCTTTAAAGTGTGGAACATGGAACACTGGTGGTATATGGCCTCGTTCTCAGTAGTACCCTGTGTAGCTACAAACAATGGATAGAGTCCACAAAATAGGACACTTTTTGTCCATAATTCAAAGTTCTACCCTTCCTTCAGTGCCTGGCAGCTGTCACTAGATTAATATATCTTAAGAAAGAACATATTGTTTATATGGAATTCTTGCTCAAGTGACAGCTCACAGACATTAGAGATGCCTTATTAAGGTGAAGATAAATTGTACATTCTGTAGTTTCACAATGACCTCACACTGTCAACACCTGGATCACACAAGGAACTTAGAGAAGGGAAAATCTGTGACGACTGTGTAAAATGCTGACTCCTATTTTAGAAAGTAAATCTAGCTATCTTTAACAAGGAAAGACATACAGGACAGCAGTCACTTGTAAGATAATGTTCTGACTGCCAAAAGCTATTTTGTCAGCTGACATTTACAATGAACTTTGTCTATTGTGACAGTGTGAGGCCCTACCACTATGTAAATTTATGTAGAAATGGCTCAGGATTCACATTTTAGGCTTAAAGTGGCTGTAGCTGCTGACTTTTAATATATGAACACTTACCTTTCCAGGGATCCAGCAATGTCCTCACCTGAACTGATTCTTCAGTCAGCTTTGGGTGCAGACATCTTAAGTAAAGGAAACTGACAGTAAAGCCTTGCCGGTTTCCCACTGTGCATGAGTGAAGAGCGGTGCACTTTGTGAATGCTCTCACCTGAAAGTGGGAGCTGGTACCTGTCAGAACCCAGTCACTCACTCCCCTCCCCCCCCCCCCCCAAAAAAAGTGCCAAATGTGGCAAACAAGCGGAACTTTCACTTTTGGGTGAAGTTCTGCTTTACTGCAAAGCTCCAGGGTGTTTGTTATAAACGTAGAAAGATGTACTTTATGTTTCTGTTGACTTGGTAGCTCTGGATCAGGGACTGGAGTTTGAAGGTTCCAATGTGTCTTGGGTGGGACTTTAATCCTGTGTCCAGGCTTTGCTTGACTCTGTGTGAAGATAGCAATGTGCTTTAGCCCGGAGAGGTGACTTGCTTGGGAAAACGTGACCCTATGTTGGGGGAACTTCTTGCCCACAGGACTGGGAGAGTTAAAACAGCTACAAGGGTCCAGAGAGCTTGAGAAGGCTGAGGTGAGTAGGAAGTCCCCAGAGGGGGCTGGAGGAAGTTCTATGTTCCTGAGAAGCAGCTTTGAGGGTGCTGGGGAAACCCATCCAGAGGTAAGAAGTGGGGCCCATGCAGTGTGGCTGCAAATATTGACTGAATGAGCCTGAGGACTCCATGGTCTTGGAGATCAGCATGAGTAGTTGTCAAGGCTTTAAGTTTTGTTTAATAAAAGTGGGTTGCCGTGCCCTTAAAGTGGAGCACCAGGCTCTCCCCAAACATTTAAAAATCAACAGCTACAAGTACTGTAGCTGCTGACTTTTTTTATATAAGGACACTCACCTGTCCAGAGGACCAGGGCCACCCTCACCTGGGTTAGCTCTTCACTAGTAAGGGAAACCAGAAGTGGAGCCTTGCGGCTTCACCGCTGGTTTCCTACTGTGCATGTGCGAGTAGCGCTGCACCTTGTGAATGGTCCTGTAGTCTTTTGGGACCTGGGAAGTGTCCCAGAAGACTGTGGGGGGAAGGAGGGGAGCAGAACTCCCGGCTGCAGCGAACTGAGCCAGAAGTGGGAGCGGTTACCCGCTCCTCCCTAAAAAGTGCCCAATGTGGCAGTGGAAGGGGAGGAGGGTTCAAACAAGCATAGCTTCCCCTTTTGGGTGGACTCCACTTTAAATAGACTGATATAGGCTTTACAAACCCATCTAACAAACATTTAAAGAAATGTTCGGTTTCTGATGCGCTATACAACAGTCAGTTAAATCATAGCCAAGGACAGGCTAACGTTAGAGCAAACATACTTCCCATAATATGTAGGGTATGACTTATATACCTATGAAACATTTTAAAAATATTTCCAACCTTGCATAGGATATTGCTTCTGATTCTGTTGACAGTGCTTTATAAAAGATCAATACACCAACTACTGAAATGTCAAGTATGTTTAGAAGGTGTTGGCATTAGATAGATGAAGAAATGAGTAGTAAAAAACTGACATGGTTTAAAAGGATCAGCTACTTAAAAACAAACACAGAGACAATAGTGAAAAAAAAAACAAACTAGACCTTAGGTCACACAGAACTGTCCAGAGGACCAGGGCCACCCTCACCTGGGCTAGCTCTTCACTAGTAAGGGAAACCAGAAGTGGAGCCTTGCGGCTTCACCGCTGGTTTCCTACTGTGCATGTGTGCGAGTAGCGCTAGAAATAAATAGAAATAGAAATAAAAGAAATAAAATAAAAATTAGAGCTTAGTCCTGCTCAAATTCAATCCTTAGATTCTAGGTGAAGTGATCAGACAGCTCACCCCCCCCCCCCCCCCCAACTGACAACTAGAAAAGAGAAGGATGTGTAACTGACAGTTCTGGTCTCTGCCACAGGGGTTGCTGTGGAGACCAGCACTGCTATTCAACATGCAGTGCTGTTTGTCTATCAGCAACTGCTTTTACACATACACAATGCTGCCACAGCGTTGTGTTAAATTTCAGTTTATGAATGACAGATCAGTGATGTCAGACTGTCATTGACAGCATAGGTCTGTACATCACTGATCACTCACAAAAGAGACAGCTCACACAACGCTACAGCAATGTGTGATCCATCAGTCGAGTTGTAAAAGCAGCTGCTGTTAGGCACACAGAGCCACAGTCTGAGTGATCTATCATTATTATGAATGAATGCTCTGCTCTAGACTCATAATAGTAAATAGATTACTCAGAGTTGCGGCTCTGTACAATGTATCTGCAGTACTTGTACACATAGGGCACTGGCAGATATATTACACAGTGTCATGGCTCTGAGTGATCTTTTTCTACTATGAATGAACAAGCAGTGCGAAATTTAGAGAGTAGGCAGGGCTTTATGTTGGCTGTACCTCCCTCACAGGATCACTCATAATTTGGGCTTCAAAAGGGGGTGAATTCAAAAAGTAAGAAAAAAGATGA